ACATAAACTAACACACTAACACACATACACTAACACACACACACACACATACACTAACATACACTAACACACACACTAACAGACACATACACTAACACACAAACACACACACTGAGACACACACACTGAGACACATACACTAACACACAAACACATACACTATCACACACATACAATAACACACACATACACTAACACACAAACACACACAGATACACTAACACACAAACACACACTAACACAAACACAGATACACCAACACACATACACTAACATACACCAACACACACACATACACTAACATACACTAACACACATACACACTAACACACATACACACTAATACACACACACACTAACACACACACACACTAACACACACACACACACACACTAACACACACACTAACACATACACTAACACACACACACATACACTAACACACACACACTAACACACATACACTAACACACATACACTAACACACATACACTAACACACACACATACACTAACACACACACATACACTAACACACACATACACTAACACACACATTTTTTTTTTTTTTTAATGTAATCCCCCTAGCCTCCTTACCTTTTGGAGTGCTGGGGGGATTCCCTGGGGTCCAGTGGTGCTGCTGACACCCGGAAGGCGGGTGGCCGGTCGGGCAGGCGCGCGGGCGAGGGAGCACTCAGTGCTAACTCTTCAGCTCCCTCACGCACCGCACTGATACCGGAGCCGGAAGATGACGCCATCTTCCGGCTCCGGCATCCCTACACGGCGCGCGAGGGAGCTGAAGAGGTAGCACTGAGTGCTCCCTCGCGCGCCTGCCTGCCCGGCCACCCACCTTCCGGGTGTCAGCAGGGCCAGCCTCGGGGGGCCCTGGGGTGGGCGGCTCCTGGGCCCCCCAGGGGAAGAGGCTGGCCCTGTGGCTACATACCGGGTCGCAGGGGCGGCCGGGCCCCCAGGTGGGCCGGGCCCGGTCGCAGCCGCGTCCCCTGTGACCCTGGTATGTACGCCACTGTTCCAGACACAGAGTCGCCTGGGCAGGTTTGTGTGTCCATAAATGGAGACCCCATGCTGGGGGTCTGTGTATAAATTCTGTGTGCCTTGCCTGAATAAACCAGATCTACTCCCAGCACTGGCATACATACCGCAGTTGCAGGGGTCGCAGCTGCGACCCTGTATGTATGCCAGGAGCTGGCCACATCAGGGCCCCCCGAGGCTGGCCCTGGTGTCACCGGGCGGGCACGAGGGAGCACTCTCCCCTGAGCGCTCTCCGCCCAGCTCCCTCGCGTGCACCGCACTTATGCTGGAACTGGAATATGACATTATACTCCAGCTCCGGCATCAGTAAGCGACGTGAGAGGGAGCTGGGCAGAGAGCGCTCAGGGGAGAGTGCTCCCTCACGCGTCCGCAGGACCGGCCGCTGGGCAGCCGCACTGGACCCCAGGGAATCCCCCCAAAACTCCCAAAGATAGGGAGGCTGGGGGATTAAATCTAAAAAAAAAAAAGAAAAAAAGAAAAATCATGTGTGTATGTTTGTTAGTGTTACAGTGTGTGTGTTAGTGTAATTTTTTTTGTGTTACTGTGTCTGCTAGTGAGTGTCAGTGAGTGTGTTAGTTTTTGTTTGTGTGTGTTACTGTGTGTTAGTTATGTGTGTCTGTTATTGAGTGTGTCTGTTAGTGAGTGTCAGTGTATGTTAGTTTGTGTGAGAGTGAGTGTGTCTGTTACTGAGTGTGTTAGTTTGTGTGTGTCTCTTAGTGAGTCGGTTAGTGAGTCTGTTAGGTGTCTTAGTGAGTGTGTGTTTGTCAGTGAGAGCGTATGTTTTGTAAGTGAGTGTGTATGTGTTTCTGTCTGTCACTGAGTGTCTCTGTCAGTAAATGTGTGTGTCTGTTAGCTAGTGTGTATGCGTCTGTTCGTGAGAGTGTGTGTGTGTTTAAAACCCCTTCAGCACTTACCTTTCTCCAGCACCGGACTCCCTTGGCGCTGAGGATCCCTCCGACTCTCAGCTCCGAATGCGCATGCGCGGCAAGAGCCACGCACACGCGCATTCAAACCGCCATTGAAAAGCATTACTCAATGCTTTCCTATGGACGTCCAGCGTCTTATCACTGTGATTTTCACAGTGAGAATCGTGGAAACGACTCTAGCCGCTGTCAGTGAGACAGACAACTACAACTAGAGACTGGATTAACCCTCAGTGAAACATAGCAGTTTCTCTGAAACTGCTATGTATTCAGCTGCAGGGTTAAACTAGAGGGACCTAGAACCCAGACCACTTCATTGAGCTGAAGTGATCTGGGTGTCTAAAGTGGTCCGTTAAGTGTATGTGTATCTGCATGCACTGGTGTACATACCGCGATCACAGGGGTCGCAGCCCTGCAACCCCTGTGACCAGGAGCCTGCCGCCATATGTTGCGACCCCGGCCCAAGCAGAGTAAGCGGGGGGATAAGGATCTATTTTAGCACCGGGGCCCCATGGGTCGTGTGTACGCCACTGACTCCCATCATTAAGTTTAGACAAATGTATGGGTGGAAAGCTGTACTAGCTAACACAACGGGAAAGGGAATCCATGACAGTGATACCCTGGTGGTCCACCACACGGATCAACATGTTAGCTCCTAATTTGGAGCTAAAATCAGGACAATTTTTGCTGTCATGTTTTTGTCATGATATGAAATAACATTTAAATGTTTTTGATATTTTGGAAAAAGTCCCTAGAGTGCGGACCTCATTGCTGTTGTTTACTGTGCCAGACCTACACCAGGTTTCATAAAGGATTTCCTGGAGTGCAAGGTGTGTGTGTTTTAATATAACTGGTTTTAGTTGTTGTTAGAGGGTAAACATAAATATAAAACATACAATTATGTAATTATGTAATTTCAAAATTGCCACGACTAAGAGCTCCTCTGCTATGATCTTACTGCATACTGCCTGAGCTACCTGTCTGAACAAACGAGGTGCAAAATCCCTTTTCTCTGTTTCTTTACGACATGAGCTTCAACCCACCTTGATAACACAGGCCCCTTCCCTTTCTTGCATAAGAGTGAGAAAGAAAACCTTGGAATATATTCTTTTAATAGTTATCACAGTAATGTTTGTGGAGAACACCAGGCTCATCCCAAAGGAGATGTGTCAGCTTTCACAGGCTCTGCTAGATCGTGACAACCCTCGGGACCCATGGAGCTGCTTATGAATTCTTGGTTAGATAGTTTAGTACATTCCACGATAGATGACATCGACCTCCGTCCTCTTATTTTACCTAAATGTATTCGTTTTATCCATTCGGAAACACAGTGTGAGAGCAGAATGTGAAAAGATGGAGTAGGGAGAGTGGAGGGTGTGTCATAAGACTGTATCCAATCAGAGCGTGGTTAGATCAGCCAATAAGATGCTAGCTGGAGATGTATAATTTGGAGGCTGCTGCGGGCGCGTATTATTGCTTGATCTTCATAGAGAATCGTGACCATGTCTGAAGCTGCCCCTGCTCCCGCCGCCGCACCTGCAGTAGAAGGCGCCTCCAAAAAGAAGCAGCCCAAGAAAGCAGCCGGTGTCAAGAAAGCCGCTAAGCCCTCCGGTCCTAGCGTGTCCGAGCTCATTGTTAAAGCTGTGTCCGCTTCTAAAGAGCGCAGCGGGGTGTCCCTGGCAGCTCTGAAGAAGGCTTTGGCCGCTTCTGGTTATGATGTGGAAAAGAATAACAGCCGCCTCAAGCTGGCTCTCAAGGGCTTGGTGACTAAAAGCACTCTCGTCCAGGTCAAAGGAAGCGGAGCTTCCGGCTCCTTCAAGCTCAACAAAAAGCAGGCGGAGAGCAAGGACAAGGCTGCCAAGAAAAAGGCACCGGCTAAGGTCAAGAAGCCCGCCCCGAAGAAAGCCACCAAGTCTCCAGCTAAACCTAAGAAGGTAGCTGCAAAGAGCCCGAAAAAGGCCAAAAAGCCGGCCGCCTCCGCTAAAAAGGCCACCAAAAGCCCGAAGAAAGTCAAAGCCGCCAAACCCAAGAAGGCAGTGAAAAGCCCGGCTAAGAAGACCGTGAAGAGCCCGGCTAAAAAGGCAGCCAAACCCAAAGCCGCCAAGAGTCCCGCAAAGGCTAAAAAGGCAGCTCCCAAAAATAAATAAGCCCTGCTCGCATTTAATTTTATTTTCCAAACCCAAAAGGCTCTTGTAAGAGCCACCACATACTCCTTTCAGAGCTATATATCAGTGAGAGGAACGTGTTTGTTTTGGTATCATGTCTCACACACCGTCCCCCCTCCCATCCCTCGTTCTAAAGTCAGGAATAACCTAATGAATCCTGTAATCCCAGCATCTAGTGCTAGAAAAGATCACACAGGAATGTACCTTGTCGTCCCCGTAGACCAGTGCTACACTCGAGCGTTCAATTTTTTTTTAGGCGTAGAAATTCCCTCCGTTCTAAGATCCTATGGGTGTTTCTTCATTAAACTGCGAAAGGCCAGTTTTAGTGAGAAACGCATATTATATATAGAATACCACACAGTGTCCTTCCAGACTACATTTAATGTCATTGCCTTTTCAGTAAGATAATAAAGCAGAAAATATTTTAGGGATTGCGGTTTTGGAGCTGAATAGTTACACGGTGATAATAAAAGGGACTGTCCTCGTCCTCTCTCCACGTGTGAAACGGGCGCTTATTTCGTTGTTCAAAGAGTGATAAAGCCCAAGAAATGATCCCTTGTGCAGTAGCTAAGCCGACTATCAAAGAAACACTAAAGACATGATAAAATGATTATACTTCAAATAGGCTTCACGATTGTGAAATCTTTTGAAGCATAAACAGCTTTGGTTTTAAGAGCCAGAACCATTTCGAGCACGGAGGGAGAGGGTTAAGCATATTTCTGAGAGGGGGGGGGAGTGATGGGGCGTGTCTAAAACGCCCGCCTCCTTTGCTGCAGTTCCCCATACGGTCCGTCCGAGGAGTATATAAGGAAGAGCTTTGCACAGCATCTCATATCGTTCGTGCAGAAAGAAGAGCAGAACCATGTCTGGCAGAGGCAAAGGAGGAAAGGGTCTCGGAAAAGGTGGCGCTAAGCGACACAGGAAGGTCCTTCGTGACAACATCCAGGGCATTACCAAGCCTGCAATTCGTCGCCTTGCTCGCAGGGGAGGCGTGAAGCGTATTTCCGGCCTCATCTATGAGGAGACTCGCGGGGTGCTGAAGGTATTCCTGGAGAACGTCATCCGGGACGCCGTCACCTACACCGAGCATGCCAAGAGGAAGACTGTGACCGCCATGGACGTAGTTTATGCTCTTAAGCGCCAGGGCCGCACTCTCTATGGCTTCGGAGGTTAAAACTCGGGCTTGACTTTACCGCACACCCCATTAACCCAAAGGCCCTTTTCAGGGCCACCCACTTTGTCACTAAAAGACCGAACCTAATCACTTTAACCCCTTCCACACCTGATACATAGATCCACCCGACACCGAGAAGGAGATCCTAATACAGGCTGCTCCCAAACATGTAGACAGGAAAGGTTGCTAAACACTGTCTTTGTAGACCGCATGTTCGAACCATCGGAGGATTTGGAGACGCCTTCTGTTAATGGTAGGGGATGTCAAAACTTCTGCTATAGTGAGGTGCATTTAGATTACGAGCAAGTACGTCCACACACTGTCAAGAAAGCTCTGGTTTTGGTGTATTGTTACTGTTGTCTACATTTAATACATGCTTGCAGCCACTTAAATAGAAACATTGTTACTAGCTTTACATATGCACTCCTGTGTTAACTCTGTATTCTCCTCCAAGCGACAAAGTAGTCTTTTTCCTGCTGCCTCTCCACACGATGGATTCTAAATAGTGAAGTTATTGTAAAATTGCGAGTGAAATAGAGCAGCAGAGATGATGGCTAAATCGTTGCCTGACGTGAAAATGGGATATGTGGGGACATTTGAGCATTGTAGTGTGAGGGCTCCGTAGCCCGCTCCCAGGCTAAAAGACTAAGTTTTTAAGTTGTGAATGTGTTGGAGCTCGTTCGAGTGCAGATTTGGTGGCTCTTAAAAGAGCCTTTGTGTTTGTTAGCAGGTTTCAACTTAAGCACGTTCTCCTCGGATCCTACGAGCCAGCTGGATGTCTTTGGGCATGATTGTGACCCTCTTAGCGTGGATGGCGCACAAGTTGGTATCCTCAAAGAGACCCACCAGGTAAGCCTCGCTAGCCTCTTGCAGAGCCATGACAGCAGAGCTCTGGAAGCGCAGATCAGTCTTGAAATCCTGAGCGATCTCACGGACAAGGCGCTGGAAGGGCAGCTTGCGGATGAGCAGCTCGGTGGACTTCTGATAACGGCGGATCTCCCTGAGAGCCACAGTTCCTGGACGGTAACGGTGAGGCTTTTTCACTCCCCCGGTAGCTGGGGCGCTCTTTCTAGCAGCTTTGGTGGCTAGCTGCTTGCGGGGAGCCTTGCCTCCGGTCGACTTACGGGCTGTCTGCTTAGTTCTGGCCATTGTAGCAAAACGAAAGGGAATGAACGCTGCTCGCTGTAGCCTGGGCTTTATAGCCGATACGGCGTTTTCATTGGTTCATCAGGTGGGTGGTATGTTCTGATTGGCTGAAAACAAATAGTAAATCATTTCAAAATACCCGCTCAAATCAACTGCTTCTCATTCCCTCCCCCTCATTCAAAATGCCCGCTCAAATCAACTGCTTCATCCTCTCCCCCCTCCATCGAGACCACGCGTCCAAAGAAGGGATCTAAGCCTTTAGTGACCCTTCCTGTCCTGACAGCATTTATTATGGACGCCACTAGTTGATAGGATTGGCAGTGGGCAGTAATGGACGTATTCCTCCCAACATACTTAGTAATAGCTGTATAGGCTTTATCGAGGGGAAGGGGTGCATGGGACATACACCTCTTACACATGCAGAAAGGCCGCTTCTTTCGATGGGATAGAAGCCACGTCTGATAAAGGACTTTCACTCACAGGACGCTCAGTAGCCTTGCAAATGAGCTCCATGAGACAGAGCAGCAGGAAATGTTACAAGGCATCCACTTATTGAAACAATGTTTTCAGCCGAGAGGCCAGGCTATTAAGGCTGCGTTAACTCATCCAGCAGCACAGACAACAGAGCTGTAGCGCCGCTAGGATTTGAACGCTCATAGTAGGTTTCACCCGGCATGTCCTCCAGACAGCGGGAGAGGGGGAGTGAGCGAGATGTAGAGATGCCCTCGCTTAGCAAAAGAGGTCCTGCACACTATATACACACACACACTTGTTGCCCCAATTTGTATTAATTTGCTGCTGCGTGTATCATAGACCTGCATGACAGCCATTGATTTTAACTAGTTCTATAGCTGGAATGTTGGACAGGATATGGACTGCAAATGGCACGGAGTGCTGTGACAGAAGCGCCCGATTATTTTAGCTTGCTTATGAGTTCCCAGCGTGGTGTGGGTGTGCAGATACAGGGAACGGTTTGCGCGCAGCAGAACAATTAATCGGCTCTTTGTGGAGAATGTGGGTGGCTCTTAAAAGAGCCTTTGTGTTTGGTAGGTGAGGGAGGCAGGCAAGTGCAGCAGCTGTCCGCTTTACTTGCTCTTGGTGGGCTTGTGGCTCTCGGTCTTCTTGGGCAGCAGCACAGCCTGGATGTTAGGCAGGACACCTCCCTGGGCGATAGTCACTCCTCCCAGCAGTTTGTTGAGCTCTTCATCGTTACGGACAGCGAGCTGGAGATGGCGGGGAATGATGCGGGTCTTTTTGTTGTCTCTAGCGGCATTCCCTGCCAGCTCCAGAATCTCAGCGGTCAGGTACTCCAGCACTGCAGCCAGATAGACGGGGGCACCGGCTCCCACACGCTCTGCATAATTGCCTTTCCTCAGCAAACGGTGGACTCTGCCGACTGGGAACTGAAGTCCCGCTCGGGATGAGCGAGTCTTCGCCTTTGCACGGGTCTTTCCACCTTGCTTTCCGCGGCCAGACATGTTTGTTCTTGATGAAATGCAAGAAGATGAAAACTCCTCCCCTACCACAGGCTATTTATAAACACACTCTGCTCTGTGATTGGATGGCTTTACAAGCAGCCAATTAGAGACACGTTATACAGGGAACCAATCTATTGCTGGAGCTAGTGTTAAACAGCCGCTTCCTTAGGTCATCTGACTTTAGTAACCAATCGCATGAAGGGAAGCGGAAGGGCCTCATTTACATGGTCCGCCTATAAATAGAACCGCCGGAGGAGCAGCTTGCTATTCGCTCGCGAGCTAACAGCGTTGATCATGCCTGATCCAGCAAAGTCCGCACCAGCCCCCAAGAAAGGCTCCAAAAAAGCCGTCACCAAGACTCAGAAGAAAGATGGCAAGAAGCGTAGAAAGAGCAGGTAGGAGAGCTATGCCATCTACGTGTACAAGGTGCTGAAGCAGGTCCATCCCGACACCGGCATCTCCTCCAAGGCAATGGGGATCATGAACTCCTTTGTCAATGATATCTTTGAGCGCATCGCAGGAGAAGCATCTCGCCTGGCTCACTACAACAAGCGCTCCACCATCACCTCCCGGGAGATCCAGACTGCCGTGCGCCTGCTACTACCCGGAGAGCTGGCAAAGCACGCCGTGTCTGAGGGCACCAAGGCTGTCACAAAGTACACCAGCGCCAAGTAAACGTCCGCCTCCCTGATCACCCGCTAACACAAAGGCTCTTTTAAGAGCCACCCACACTGTCTCTCTCAGAGCTGGCATCACACCCATGCATCAACTCTACAGCTTACTTACTGCCCACCACAACCTCACGCAAACGTGTAGCTTTCCTTTCACTTAACCCTTTCCATGCTGTCCTGTGACTCTGAGACTTGTTCAGGAGATCTAACGAAGATCTCGAGCTGCTAGCAGTGTTTGCACATTGGAGACGCTCGTACCACTATCACTCACATGCTGATTTAGCCACCTAATGCTCAGTTTGCTCCGCTCTATTACTTTCAAGTTTACTTAGATACCGGACTTTATCTTAGAAGATATTCGTTGGGCGGCTGTATATCTAGTAACTCTAGATTAGAGACAGTCTTCTTATTCAGCCCTTGAAGGCACTTTAGGAATATTATAAAAAACTGGTACTCTAGGAGATTTTATACCTAGTCCTTTACCAAATAGCTACATGGCCAGGGATTTCACTCGATACGTGTATCCGTTTCTCTCTCTCTCTCTCTTTTGTTATAGCCTATTGAAACAATGTTTCACTTCATCCTGATACTGTCTATCACTATGTTGCAACTCATGGAAGCCTAGTATGTGGTTCGAGCGTCTTTTTGCTCACGCTAGTATTTTACTAGACTTTAAAAGGTCTTTTTGACATGTATACCTCAAAACAGCTAGTGTGCAATATCTAGCCCACCTACCCTATTTTCTGTAATTTCCCCTATTCATGAGGAATGTGCGCAGGCTTACTTTGAAACATTTAGCAGGCGTTTCCCTCTTATTGCACATTGCAGATGGACAGATTTATTTTTGTAATTGTCTTTATTTTGTGTAAGTCTTGATATTGGTGACTTCTTTAGGGTATCCCACCCCTTTAGCTTTATTCTCATTAAAGGTTTAGTTGTATCCATTTGTTTAGCAAACCCCCGACTGAATTAGATACCTGTCCTTAGTATCTACATTGGTCCACATACCATTGTTCATTATTTTTTTTATTTATTTTTTTATGCCTTAGTGTTTGCCAGTAAAGAACAATTTAGACCATTGAAGGCGTCATCTACATATCAGCATGGTGATTTTAGTGTCTGCAGAAATGTTGAGCTCATTAAAGACACCCTGATAAGCCTGTTTTGATCTTAAACACATAAGCATTTTTGTTTTTTGTAACTGGCCTTTTTTTCTCATTTATTGCGCCAACACATTATACACTTTCCCACCAGATGTGCCTGAATAACACTCAAACAGCGTTTTCCAATTGGTTTTCTTCGGGAACCTAGGGTCCAGCGAGAACAAAATTGGGGTTCTGCAGTGATTTGCCCATTGGGTAGCCCATACACTTAGGGAAACCTGATGGGCATTGCTGCAGAGGGATTCGGTAAGCGCCGTTTAATTGCCCAACAGGGTCTCCGTAGCATGAGATGCTGGGAAGTGACTGACGATCATTACCTCCCAGCGTCAAATAGAAAATGCTGCACTGGAGGGAGAGAGACCGCAGTCGGCACTGAGCAGCGAGTTCGGCGCCGCCTAAGGCCTAACTTGACATAGGGCAGGCATAATGTGTCAGGTACAAGGACCCCACACCTTGCCCCTCCAGTCTGCCCTGAGAAGCCAAAAGCCAGCATAGTCTGCAGCTCCGCTGGCTGTGACCTGCAGACTGTGCAGTGTCTCGTG